GGGGAGTGGCCCGGATCGCCCCCGACGACGCCGCAAGGGGGCCCGAACGGGGGCCCGAAAGCAACAGGGGGGATCCTCAGTTTTCGATCCTCCTCCTCCTCCTCCTCCTCGAGATGCCAAGCCGATCGGGCACGGAGACATATATTTTCCCCCCCCCGGGCCTGCAGGGGCCGGGCGCCCGGCCCGCGACACGCCGAGCGGTCCCGATGCGAGTCGGGCGCGCGTCCGATGTCCGAGGTTGCGATGCGGCCAGGCTCTGGCCCGGGAGGCCGAGGAGAGGGTCGAAGGAGGCAGATCTGCACGAACGAGATGGGCACGGAAAGAATGGGTACAATGCTGAACAGCAGTTCTTGTTCATTTTGAACAGGACTCGCTGTCCACGCCGCCGCGGCCTGTGTCTATTTGAGACAGGAGGCCGCCTGCCCAACAGCGGCCGCTGTTGGTTTGGGACAACATTTGTTGTTGGGCATTGTACCCATTTCTTCCGTACCCATTTCGGGCGTCCAAAGCAGAGATCGAGGGCGAGGTCGCGCGGAGGAGGCCGAGGAGGGGTCTTGAGGGGGCAGGGGGCCAGGGCCTGCCACCTCGAAGGAGCTCTGGGGAGAGAGGGGGGCGGGCGAGGGCGGAGGTCGCGGGCACAGGCACGGAGGAGGCCCGAGGAGGGCCGAGGACGGAGGGAAACGGAGGGGGAGGGCCTGCGCCTCCGAAGGGGGGGGCCTGGAGCTCCGAGGAGGGTGGGAGAGAGGCGGAGGGCGAGGGCGAGGGCGCGGAGGAGGCGGAGGAGGACGAGGGCAGCGAGGGTGTCGGTGGAGGACAGGAAGGTGCGGCGGAGGAGGGTCGTGTGGCTGCCACAGGCGGTGCGAGGCGGAGGAGTGTGAGGAGGAGGAGGAGGAGGAGAAGGAGGAGGAGGAGGAGGAGGAGGAGGAGGAGGAGGGCACCCTGAGGCGGAGGATGGCACCCTGCCTGCGTAGGGAGTCGGTGTGGCTCATATGTTTGATCTGCGTCCGCTGCCTCTGCGTGCTGCTTTTCTCTTCATTTACCTGTGGCGGTCTTCGTCGACCGACCTGCCGACCGACCGAGGTGGAGGGCCCAGACCCCAGGAGACACGAGCTTGAGGCACCGCAGCGGGCACTCACCAGCGGGCATGCTGGAAACCGGTCAACAGGCACCGCTTCAGGTCGCCTCTCGAGCGTTGCAGAGGTGCCCGCATCGGCGAGGGTTTGGTTCGCCAGGTCGCTGGCCTGAGTGCCCGTGTTGGTGGAGTCCTGGTCAGGGGTGTGCAGGGAGCGTAGCAGGTGGAGGTCGAGGAGGGAGGAGGGAGGAGGGAGGAGGGAGGAGGGAGGAGGGAGGAGGGAGGAGGTCGAGGAGGGTGAGGAAGGCGAGGGCGACGCCCGACCGCGGACGCCGACGGCGGCGACGGCCGCGACGGCGGCTGCCTCTGCGCTCGGCGGCCGGCCCGTGGACCGCCGCGACGCCCCCGCGGCGGCCTCAGGCCGCCGTCGCGCACGACGCGCAGCAGGGCGCCCTGGAGCTGGCGCAGAGGACGGCTCCTCGCCGCTCGCCGCCCGTCGCCGTCGCCAAGCCCGCCGCCGTTCGCTGCCGTGGCCGCCGCCGCCGAGCTGCGCAGCGGGGCGCTGCCGCGCGCCTGCGCGCCGCGCGCACCGCTGCCGTCGGGCCCGTCGCGTCGCCTCGGCCGCCGACGGCCCGGCGGACGAGGACGGCGACGACGACGACGACCACGTCCTTGTCGACGGAGAAGCGAGACGCGGCCGGCCCGGGCGAGAGCTGGATACGCGCGTGGCCAGGTAGGCCAGGCTCGCGCGCATGTACCCTGCGCGTGGCCTCTGGACGTTCCGCGTGTGGATCCAGCCGTGCAGTCAGCAGCTTTTGGTTGGCGTGTCGCGCCGTCGGTGCTGGTACGCCACGCCTCGGCCCGACACGCTGAAGCACGTCGCGGTCCCTTGGCGTCAGTGCCCCGAGCTGCCACGCGGAGCTGAGCGACATGCTTCTGCGCTCGCAGAGCACGGCGTGTCGCTGGGGGCCGCCGCTGCGACGCGACACGCGAAGCAAAAGTTCCCGACCGTATCAGAGCGAGGGGGCCGAGCAGTCTTGCACTGCCCTTGGGTGCGTAGCCAAAACTGGGGATCCGCGGCGTCGGTTCTTGCTGTGTTGTTGGATTATCGCTCACTGGTATCCCCTCATTGGTAATGTAAGCCCCGGAGTAGTGCAGGGCCCCCCCCGTGCTCTCCTGGGGCGGGGAACAGCGCTACAGATGGCGAAAGATGTATTATTTGCCCCCCCAGGAATTCTCGTCGTTGTCGGTCGTCGTCGTCGGCCGTCGGCCGTACGTCGTCTCCGTCGCTCGCGTACCCGCTCACTCCGAAGAATAAGTGTTGCTGATCTCCCCCTAATGATTCCTCCCAATGTTTTAAGGGATCGCGCTCGCGCACGAGATTTCCTCGCAATTCACTGAAGAATCGCATTCTCGCAAGGGACATCCCCACAATTCACTCATGCGCTGCGCTCTTCCCTGAAGCTTCCTCACAACCAATGAAATTCGCCTGAATGCCCCGCCCGCCCGATCAGACCGTTGGGGTCCGCCCGCCCGACCCGACGTGATGATGTCTTCACTGCGCTCGACGTGCCTGCAGCTGCTGCGACGCGAGCTGCCCTTGGAACGTGCGTGCGTGCGTGTGTGTTTGTGCGTGTGTTTGTAATTGTCGTTGTATGTGTGTGTGTGTCTGTGGCTGTGCTCGTGCTTGTGTTGTTGTTTATCTTTGTGTGTTGTGAGTGTGCTTGTGTGTCCGTGCCGGTGTCTGTGGTTGTGTGTGTTTGTGTGTTGTGGTTGTGTTTGTGTTTCTTTGTGATTGTGGCTGTGGCTGTGGTTGTGTTGGTGTCTGTGTTGTGTTTGTGTTTGTGTTTGTGCTGGTCGTTGTGTTTGTGATTGTGTTTGTTGTTGTGTGTGTGTGTGTGTGTGTGTGTGTGTGCGTGTGGCTGGTGTGTGTGTGTGTGATTGTGTATGTTGGCGTGCGCGTGCGCGTGCGCATGCACGTGCACGTGCGTGTGCGTGTGCGTGTGCGTGTGCGTGTGCGTGTGTGTATGTTTGTGGTTGGTGTTCGTTTGTGGGTTCGTTTGTGGTATGTGTGGTGTGTATATGTGGGTGCGATCGTGCGTGCGTGTGTCTGCATGTGTGCGTGCGTGTGCGTTTGCGTGTGTTTGTGTTTGTGCTTGTGTTTGTGTTTGTGTGTGTACGCGTGTGCGTGCGCCTGTGCGTGTGCGTCTGCGTGTGCCTGTGCATGTGCCTGTGCGTGCGCGTGGGTGTGCGCGTGAGCGTGCACCTGCGCGTGCGCGTGCGCGTGCGCGTGAACGTGCGCGTGCGCGTGCGCGTGCGCGTGCGCTTGCGCGTGCACGTGCGCGTGCGTGTTCGTCTGCGTCTGCGTCTGCGTCTGCGTCTGCGTGTGCGCGTGCGTCTGCGTCTGCGTCTGCGTCTGCGTCTGTCTCTGCCTCTGCCTCTGCCTCTGCGTCTGCGTGTGCGTCTGCGTGTGCGTGCGCGAGCGCGTGTGCGTGTGCGCGTGCGCGTGCGTTGTTTGTCTGTGTGTTTGTTGGTTTGATTGTGCGCGTTTGTGTGCGTTTGTGTGTGTGCGTGTGCGTGTGTGTGTGTGTGCCGGGGGGGGGGCGACTTCGTTCTCGTTTTTGGTTGGCTGCCGTTGCCGCCGCCCCTCTGCGCCTCGCCTGCTGCTGCGGCTTGGCACTGCCACGCTGCCTCGATCTACCCCCGGCCCCCTCTTCTCCCCTTGAGATCCCCCCTCTGTCCCCTCTCACGGCTGCCCCCCCGGGAGTGCTGCGTGCTGCTGCCGGGCCTGCCTGCGCGCTTTCTCCCGACCTGTTCTACGCCGCGCCGCCGCCCGCGCGGCCGAGACGCCCAGAAGGGGCCCTCTTCCTCCTCCTCCTCCTCCTCCTCCTCCTCCTCCTCCTCCTCCTCCGCCTAGGGTGGGAGGGGAAGCAAGTTATCATCATGATGCCCACTTGGGTGCTCCTCGTTGGCCCCACCCATGACCGTGACTTCCAGTATGCTCTACCTCATACATTCCGAGGGGAAATTTGAGCTACCTCACAGGATGGAGTACAGAGACATCACATGGAGCATCTCTCGGAACGACCGAGAAGTGAGCTGAGTGAAGAGGGGAGCACGGAGTTCAAATGTAGAAGTAGCAGGAGCCCCCCCAGCAACAGTTTGGGGTCTCGGCCCTCCCGTCTCTCCCCTCCCTCCTCCTTTTGAGGTCGCGTCGTCGGCTCTTCCCACCCTTGGCTTGGGCACCCTGTTAATCCCGCGCGTCCCCCTCCCGTAGGGCACGCGGAAGGGCCATCAGCGGTCTCCCCCGCACTGACCCGATGGGACTCGCGATGTAAGGTAGCGAGCCTCTCTTACGGGGCCACCTCGGAGCTCGGTCCTTGAGCTTCGGGGTATGCCCCCTGCCGGCCCTAAGCAGGGCCGTAGCACAACCCAGCGCAGGGGAGTTTGACAATAGCGCGTAAATCACCCGTGTAGGTGCTCTGATTGACGTTACCGCCCCATGCGGATGTCCTTGTCCTTGTCCTCCTCCTCCTCCTCCTCCTCCTCCCTCCTCCTCCTCCTCCTCTTCATCCTCATCCTCATCCTCTCTCCTCCTCCTCCTCCTCCTCCTCCTCCCTCCTCCTCCTCCTCCTCCTCCCCCCCTTTCTCCTCCTCCTCTCCCTTCCTCCATCTCCTCCTTCTCCTCCTCCTCCTCCTCCTCTCCTCCTCCTCCCCCCTCCTCCTCCTCCTCCTCCTCCTCCTCCTCCTCCTCCTCCTCCTCCTCCTCCTCCTCCTCCTCCTCCTCCTCCTCCTCCTCCTCCTCCTCCTCCTCCCGCAACAACCCCGTTCGCTCGAGCAGCCAGCCCCGCACCGCCCCGGGGCCGCGCCGCGCCGGGCCGTCTTTTGAGGGCCGGCCCTTGGCGCGGCCGCCCGCGGCTGTCGCGCCATGGTGCTCGCGGAGGAGGCGCCCGCGATGGCCGACCGCATCAAGCAGTCGTTCCGGCAGGCCGACAGGAGCCAGCAGCGGCGAAGCGTCCCGGCTCGCTGGTAGGCCCACCCACGAAGGCTCTCAGAAGCTCCTGCAGGCTGCACGAGGTGCTCTCAGAACATTTTATGGCTGAGGCCGTACCTCCTGTAGGTTGCACGAGGTGCTCTCAGAACATTTTATGGCTGAGGCCGTCGTGTTTGCACACATGGGGCTTGTGTTCTGAGCACACCGCTTTTGTCCTCAGAGCACGTCTGCGCTCTAAGAGCGTCTCGCGGCAGGCCTATATACAGGGATGCCGGGGCGGCCGGCCCCTGCTCCACAGGACGGGCTCCGGGCGCGTCGGCAGGGCCACGATGGCCAGGGTGCTCCGCGAGGCTCGGGGCACCTCCTCCTCCTCCTCCTCCTCCTCCTCCTCCTCCTCCTCCTCCTCCTCCTCCTCCTCCTCCTCCCCATCCTCCTTGTTCCGTCCCCGCCTCCTGCAAGGGCGGGCCGAGACCACGACCGGGGAAGCTGCGGTCCCCTGCCCGGGGGGCGAACGGCAGACGGCACGAGCAGGAATAGGGAAACAAAAAAGTGGCATAAACGTAAGAACTCGGAGGTCCGCGCGGATTTCTCGGCTCGGCGCTGGACCCCCCTCCCTGGCGCGCTCCGCGCGCCAGGGGCGGCGCCGGAGGCGCCGCCAGGAAACCCCAGCGCCGATCCGAGAAATCTGCGCGGACTTTCGAGTTTTTATGTTCATGTCACTTTGTGTTCCCCTGATAAAGTGAGCGTTTCTTATTCACTGATTTGCCGATCGGCGCGGGCCCTCGCCCGCCCCCCCTCCCCCCATCCCCCCTGGAGTGGATCGTAGCCGTTTTGGGCGCCTGTTTCGAGCAGGTGGAGTCCCTCCCCCATGGGACACACTGCTGCAAACAGTCGCACCCAGCAGAGGTCCAGAGCCAGACCCCCCCCTTCCGCCCAAGGTCTAAACGCCGAATCAAAAAACGCTCACAAAGCGATCAACGATTCAGGCAAGTCGATGGGAGGCGAGGGTCGGGTTCAGAATTCGTCGAACACGGGGTCTGTAACTATCATCACTTTTGGGCTCCTGAGGCATGAGCTTGGAGGACGTCCCCAGCAGGAGCCATCTCTCTATTGGGGCCGCTGGATCATGCTATGAATCCGAGCGGGCCATCCTAAGCTTTTCATTGACGTCAGTTTGGGGCTCCTGAGGCCTGAATCTGGAGGACGTCTCGGGCGGGAGCTTCATGACTTGCGAGGAGGTCTCCAGCGGGAGCCTCCTGCATAGGGGGCCGCTGGGTCATGTCATTGCTCCGAGCGGGTCATCCGAAACCCGTGGCGGTCATGACTTTCCGGGCTCCTGGGACATCTGCTCGGAGGACATGTCTCGAGCGGGAGCCTCGTCTCCGAGCGAGTTGCGAGAGGAGGTCTCCCGCGGGAGCCTTCCTCCCTGTGGGGCCGCCAGAGAATGTTATGAATTCGAGCGCGCCGTCCCAGACCTGCAGCTGTCGCCACTTGTGGGCTCCCAGGGCACGAATCTGGGGGGTCGTCTCGAGTGGAGGATTCTTCTGTGAGTGAACTGTGAGGAGGTCTCGAGCGAAAGCTTCCTGCGGGGCCGCCAGATCATGTGAGTCACTTTGGGCTCATGAGGCATGAATCTGGAGGATGTCTCGAGCGAGAGCTTCGTCTCGAGCGGGAGCTGGAGGATGAGGAGGAGGAGCAGGAGGAGGAGGGCGACGAGGCAGGAGAAGGAGAAGCAGAGCTCACCAGAGGCCCGCGAAGGCTCCCAGAGGCCCCAGAGGATTCCAGGAGTCCTCAAGAAGTTCCAGGAGGCAGCAGGAGGTCCCAGAAGGCCCCATGAGAAGGCATTTGGCCCTTGGAAGAGGCAGGAGGAGTCAGCACGAGGAGGAGGAGGAGGAGGAGGAGGAGGAGGAGGAGGCATGATGAGGAGGAGGAGGAGGAGGACGAGGACGAGGACGAGGAGGAGGAGGAGGAGAAGAAAACGATGAGGAGGAGGAGAAGGAGGAGGGAGGAGGAGGAGGAGGAGGAGGGAGGAGAGTAGGAGGAGGGAGGAGGATGAGGAGGAGGAGGAGGAGGAGGAGGAGGAAGAGGAGGAAGACGAGGAGGAGGAGGAGGAGGAGACAAAACGAGGAGGAGGAGGAGGAGGAGGAAACAGGAGAAGGAGGAGAGGAGGAGGAAGAGGAGGAGGAGGAGGAGGAGGAGGAGGAATGCCCCGGGAGGCCCCAGGAGGCTCCAGGAGGCTCCAGGGGGCCGATGCCCAGAAGACCCCAGGAGGAGGCAGGATGCCCAAGCAAGAGACAGGAGGAGGTACGGGGAGGGTGAGGAGGCAGACAGAGGAGGAGGAGGAGGAGGAGGAGGAGGAGGAGGAGGAGGAGGAGGAGAAGAGGGAGGAGGAGGAGGAGGAGGAGGAGGAAGACCAGTGCAAACCCAAGACCCATGAACGATGCTGTAATAAACCCTCCCTCCAAGCTCCTTGTTCATTGGCTTCTATAAGGACTGATTCTCACTGCGGACAGGGCCCTAGTGGAAGACAACCGTCAGAAGATCTTCAACCGTGCCAAAGCACCATTCCTGGAACTTCAACGCCGCGAATCAACGTTACAGTACTGTTACGACCTGGCAGCAACCCAACGTGACTGTCGCGCCCTGCCCATCCTCAACCGTGCCAAGACACTATTTCTGGAACGTCATCATAATATGATGCGGAACAGTTGTAAACAGTTCAAAACTATTCCGACGGTAGGACCCCACTCGAGAATATGTTTAGTTGGCACATCGTTGTTTTCGCTTCGTCTTGGCAGAGGCCCTCCTCCCGCTTGCTGCTGCGCCTCTTCCTCCTCCTCGTCTTCGCCCTCCGTCTCCTCCTCCTTCTCGTCCTCCCCCTTTTCCTCATTCCCCTTTTCCTCCTCCTTCTCCTCTTCCTCCTCCTCCTCTTCTTTCTCCTCCTCGCCATCCTCCTCATTCTCCTTCTCTTATCCTCCTCCTTCCTGTTCTCCCCATGCACATCCCCTCCCGGGGCAAGTCGATTTTCCTTGGCGCCGTTGCCGCCGTGGCCGGTATGGGCGCGCTCTCCGATGGCCGGATCGCGAAGCCGTTGGGGGAGCCCCATAGGGAGGGGGCTCCCGCCTGAGACTTCCTCGCGATTCGCTCACAGACGAGGCTCCCGCTCTATATTTCCTCCATTTTCAGGCTTGGGGAGCCCAGAAGAAACGACGGTTACAGGTTTCAGGATGACCCGCCCGGACCCAAGCAAAAATTGGATGCGGGACCCATAGGGAGAGGGCTGCCGCCTGAGATTTCTTCGCAACCCACTCACTGACCAGGCCCCCGCTCTATATTTCCTCCATACCCAGGTCTGGGGAGCCCAGAAGTGACGGTTGCTTCAGATTTCAGGATGACCCGCCAGGATTTAAAGCATCACGAAGTGCGGGACCCACTGGGGGAGGAGGCTCCCGCCTGAGATTTCTTGGCAGTTCACTCACGGACGAGGCTCGGATTGAAAACATGATCTCCCGGACCCATAAGGAAAGGGCTCCCGCCTGAGATCTCCTGGCAATTCACGCACAGACGAGGCTTCCGCCTGAGATGTCCTCCATATTCGGGCCTGGGGGGCCCAAACCCGACGACAGTTACAAGTATTAGGATGACCCGCTCGGATGTTTTAGATGAGGTGCGGGACCCAAAGATTGTCCGCAAGATGGTCCAAGAGAGCCACGAGTCGCCAGAAGGTCGATCCAGGCCGTCCAAGATTGCTTCCTGACAGGCCCGGACGCTACCAAGCCGCCCCAGGAGGCCCCCCAAAAGAGCCCCAAGAGTCAAAATTCATTGAGTTCTTGAGGTTATTCAAGGTTTTTAGCGCGTTTGCTTTTTCGGCTTCCCGACGCTCCAAGACGGCCCAAGAGGCCCTACAGATCGCCCCAACACGGCTTACGAACTGCCCCCAAGAGAGCGCACAGACGGTTCAAGGCGCTTCCAAGAGACGGCCCAAGAGGCCTCTAAGACGGCTTAAGAAAACCCCGGGAACGCCCCAAGAGGGGCCCCAGAGGGGGAGCACGGACCAACATTTTAGATTCTCCACCCAAAACGCGACAGGAGGCCCCAGGAGGCCCCCAAGAGGCCCCAAGAAGCTTCCAAGAGGTCCCCCGGAAGCCCCCAGAGACCCCCAAGAGGGCCCCAAGACTGCTTAAGACGGCCCCGAGATGGTCGTCGGAGACGCCCCAGGACCCGAAGGCTGCCCAACAGGGCTCCAAGATGGTCGGAGACGCCCCGACAAAGTAACACGGCGAGAAACGAACAACACGGGAACCAGCAGAATCCGCCGTATAGCGGCACATTGTCAAACGGACAGCACAGGAATCAGCATGATGTACCCTATAGACATCCTCTTCTTTGTTCCCCTCTTCCTCGCAAGTCATGCCCACTTGTCCTCAAAGGTCGGGGTTTGTAGCTACATCAGGTTAATGAGGTGCGGGACCCATACGGAGGGGGCTCCCGCTTGAGACTTCCTCGCAGTTCACTCACAGACGAGGCTCCCAGATTATATTTCCTCCATATTCAGGCTTGGGGAGCCCAAAAGAGACGACGCTTACAGGTTTTTGGATGACCCGCTCGGATCAAAAAAACATGAGGTGCTGGACGTCCTCAAGATGGGTGTGTGATTGTGCGTGGAAGCATGAGTGGGTGCGCAAATGCGGGTGAGGTTGTGACGGTGGTGATGATGATGGTGATGATCATGGTGTGCTGGTGGGTGGATGAGTGAGGGTGGTGGTGGAATGTGAGTGAGCAACTGAATGATGTGAGAATGTGTGAATGAGCGAATTCGTGGTGATGAGGATGAGGATGAGGATGAGGCTGCTGATGCTGATGCTGATGCTGATGCTGATGCTGATGCTGATGCTGATGCTGATGCTGCTGATGATGATGATGATGACGACGACGACGATGATGATGATGATGATGATGATGATGATGATGATGATGATGATGATGATGATGATGATGATGATGATGATGATGATGATGATGTAGGTGGGTTCCTGTTTCTGCGCGGGGTGTCAACAGAAGACAAGAACCCCACCCAGGATGTGGGGAAAACGTGCGCGGCGGTGGGTGGAGTGCCACATTGTGAAAAAGAGCCGCCCTCAATGTGTCGAACTCCTGCAAAGGTTTCCGACGCAGGTGCGCGGCGCTACGGCGAGAGTCACCATTTGAAAACCAAACGCCGTCCACTCGTGAAACTCTTGCAAGCTTTTAAGACGAGTGCGCGCGGCGCTTGGGCGAGAACCATATTTTGAAAACGAACCGCCCTTCATCCGTGAGACCCTTGCGAACAGTTAAAACGAGTGCGCGCGGCGCTAAGGCAATTGTCAGTTTGAACACGAACTGCCCTCTATCCGTGAAACTCTTGCAAATGTTTAAGACGAGTGCGCGCGGCGCTAAGGCGAGAGCCACATTCGGAAAATGACCGGCCCTTCATCAACTGTTGCAAAGCTTTGTTTCAAGATCGTACATGGTGAGGAAGTCACATGCGAATCGCCCGGCCCGCCCTACCGACCCGCCTCGGGGTGCAATAAGGGGAAGTTATCTACGAGGACGAGGGATGCGGGAGGCAGGAAGAGGAGGAGGCAGGAGGAGGAGGCAAGAGGCAGGAGGGGGGAGACGGGGGCAGAAGGACATCTCCAGGCAGGCTAGAAATGTTCTCTTGCGGGGTCCTACCGCCGTCGGAGTAATTTGCGGTCGGCGCTGGACCCCCCTGGCGGCGCCTCCGGCGCCGCCCCCGGCGCACACCGCGCACCAGGGAGGGGAAATCCAGCGCCGAGTCTAGAAATCCGCGCGGACCTCCAAAAGTTCATGTTCCTGTTTTTCCAATCCTCCGTGAACCCGCTTAGGGGGGAGGGCGGGGCCCAGCGGCTTCCACGCCGATCTCCAGAGATCGTCGATACGATGGGTTCCACGAGGGGGATAGGGAGCGCAGCTCCCCCAGACGTGCCTGGCTGGAGGAGCACGAGTGCTCTGAGGTCCGCGCGGGTTCCTCAGGACACACCTGAGCCCTCCTCATCGACGCCCCTGACGGCGCCGGGGGCGCGGCAGCGGCCGAACGTCGGGGGAGGGGACCCAGTCTTGGGAGCACCAAAGTCGTGGGCGCCCGACTTGAGGAGTGCGGGGGGGGTGGCGCGAAGGGGGTCCGGGGCCGACCCAATATATCAGCGCGGAGCTCCGAAAGTTCTTGCTCGTGCAGCTGGTCGCTCCCCTACGGTCGGGAAGTTGTGGTTATATAGCGTGTCGCTCCACGGGTTCTGGCTCGGCGCGACACGCTATCCAACTCGCTGTCCCCAGGCGTCCATGTGCTCAGCTTTTCCCCACCTCCAGCCCCGCGGAGCGGAGCGACACGCTATCCGCTTGCAAGGCATAGGGTGTCGCCAAGGCCGCCGCGGCGACACGCTAAGCAAAAGTTCCTGACCCAATGCAGGTGGGGGGCTGGTCCCAGGAGGACGCAGACGAGCTGCTTGATGCCTTGGACTCGACGCGGGAGGCGCCCCTCAGGTGCTCACAGGGTGAGATGCCTACCCCGCTCTCGCTTCCAGACGAAACCACGTCATATCACGCGCCTCCCCGCCAGGCAGCCTGACCGTTGTGGGCCAACCCATGGGCAGTTTGGCATCGCTTCGTTCCCGCTGGGAGGCGAGGGTGGTCATGGCCAGGTAGCTTCGGTTGCTTCTCAGGTACGCCGAGTTCGTGGACTGGATCATGGAGGCGTGCGAGCCGCAGGCGGGCCAGGAGAACGACCCCGACTCCGACGGAGAGGAGGAGGCCGGGCTCGCATCGGGGGCGGTAGCTGCAGAGGCGTCGCTGGACCTCAGCCAGCCGGTCTCCTGCCAAGAGTTCGAGTCGCTCGCCCGGCTCCTGGAGCAGGATGCCCTCGAGGCCAGGGCGGCGTACGCACACGAGGAGGTCCACGGTGGCGGCGGGGTGCCGCTGCGCAGGCTCCTGGACTCGCTGCAGGTGGACTTCGCCGATGCCGAGGCCCTGTCCAACCTGGAGCGCTGCCTCCAGGAAGCACGCAGCAGCGTTGCTGATGGTGGCGTTGCCGCCGGTAGCTTGGCGAGGGACACTCCCGAGGAGATCGGCGTAGGCACGAAGACCTTGATGCAGGCAGTGGACAAGATCGTCCGCGTGCTCAGCCCGAGCGCCATCGACCCAGAAGATCGCCCAGCCGAGGACGCCTGGAGCGTGATCGCGGAGAACAAGGTGCCCTTCTCGAAGGCTGGCAGGGCTGCCGTCGACGCTTTCGAGGGCGACAGGAGGGGCGAGCTGGTGGAGCTCGTGAGGGCCGCCATGGTGAGTCCGCCGCTGTTGCCCTCCACCGCGGGCCAGGTTGCCAACCGGGAGCGCTGCATCGACGAAGTGGATGCCATCAGCAGGAGATGTAGGGAACAAGGCATCGGGTTCACCGACCCAGAATGGGATCTTACCAAGGAGGCGAACCTCGCCTTGTATGTAGATGGTGAGGCGCCGGGCTACGACTGCACAGTCGGCGTGCCCGCAGACTACAAACGGCTTACAGAGATCATCTCCGAACCCAAGCTCTTTAAAGGCGGAACGAAAGCGGGCGACATTATCCAAGGCCAGATCGGCACGTGCTACCTGCTAGGTGCCATGGGAGCCGTGGCTGGGAACTCCGACTGCGCGCTCAGCAATGTCTTCATCAGGTATGATATAGATGTCGGTGTCTATGGCGTCCGCTTTTGCTTGGATGGCGAGTGGACGTACACAATCATTGATGATTACATGCCTGTGGACAGCGAGGGGCGATTATTATACGCGAAGTCCCGGGACAAAGACGAGGTTTGGTGCCCGCTGTTGGAGAAGGCTTTCTGTAAGCATCACAAGTGCTACGAAATGTGCGACGGAGGCCGTGCAAACGAGGCTGTGTTCAGCCTCTTCGGGGGCGTTGCGGGGAAACTTGCCATCCAGCCCAGTCACAAGGAGTGCCCCGACACCTTCTTCAAGGCGTTGAGCTGCGCTCGGTCGAGAGGGTGGCTGCTGACCACGTCGTTCACGAAGACCCAGGGCAGCCGCTCGCAGGGCAAGTGCGGGGAGGCGGTGCTGCCAACAGGGCTCGTCGGCGGCCACGTCTACTCGGTGCTCCGCCTGGTCGAGGCCCACGGACACCAGCTCGTCTGCTGCCGCAACCCGTGGGGCGGAGGCGAGTGGACCGGCATGTGGTCCGACGGTAACAAGAGTGGCGAGTGGACCCCCGAGATGAAGCAGGCCGTTGGATTCGTCGAGGCGAACGACGGCACGTTCTGGATGAGCATCGAGGATTTCGTGAGCACATCTGGGGGGGTCGAGTACGCCAGGACCTTCGGCCCAGCGTGGAAGAAGCTCACGCAGTACAAGCGGTTCCAGAGGGGCTCTGCGACGGCCACCGCCATGTGGGACTACAAGGCCCGGGAAGACAACGAGATATCTTTGGCCAAGGGCAGCCAGGTAGAGGTGACACAGATGTCTCCTGGCTGGTGGACTGGAAAGGTGGTGGGCAGCACCACGGCCGCAGGATTCTTCCCGGCCAACTTCGTCAAGCTGAACGACCGGCCTTTGGCCCGCTTTGATCTCGTCGGCAAGCCCACGGAGGACGCCACCCAGGGCATGGACGCTGTGGTCATGCTGATGCAGCCGAACTCGAGGATGGCCCGCCGGTTCTACACGCGGAAGGAGGACGGGCTGAAGTACAAGGACGTCTCGTACGACGACATGCAGCTGATCGTGGTGGGCCCAGACGGGAAGGTGGCGCTGCGGCGCAGGCCTGGGGTCGATCAAGGGGTGGGTGAAGACAAGGGGTGCGCGGATATCATGGCCAGGGCCATGAAGTCCCCCAGATGTGATGGCCCCCCGTCAGTTGTTTTCCAAACGTCCCCTGCATCCCCTCTCGTCCGCGCATGTGCCTCGGGCCATGATGCGCGAACCTCCCCCCAAACATCCGATGGTGATTGACTTTTCAGAGCGGGGTCCCTGGAAGTCCCCGACCGTTTCCCCGGGGTTGGTTTTCGATCCCCAGTCGCTGTGTCGACGGTCCCGGGGCCCGGCGAGGACCCCTGGAGAGGCCGAAGACGGCCAAAAGCCCCCCGCCGTGAGCTGTGCCGCGGCGCGGGCAGATCGAGGCCTCTTATCCTGACCCCCTCTCCTCTCCGGCGCAAGCCGGGATCAGGGGCCGGCGGCGGTGCCTGTGGGGAGAGCTGCGCCTGCCCGGGGGCGGCCTCTGGAGGGCCTACGCGCTCTCCCTGGACGGCAGGGGTGGCCTGTTCTCCTTGCGCGCCTACGTCAAGGGCGGCACCGCCACGCTCACGGCGCTCGGAGGAGGAAAAGGTGCCCCCTACCCTGACGCTTCGGGCCCCTGAGCCCCAACAGCTTGCCCACGACGGAAAAGGTACCCCTACCGCCAGCCTTCCCTCGGTTCCCCCTCTCGCTGGGCCGCCTGGGAGGCTCTCGTCGCCACCGCTGGACTCGCCTCGAGAAGTTGGTCAGGACGCCGCACCCCAGGAGAAGTCTGTGGAGTAGCGGTATCGGTACCTTTCCGTTCCCCCAGGAGATAGCTGGGGCGAGCATCACGGAGCTCCCGTTGTGATCAGCGGCATCGTTACGGTAGGGGGGGGGTAGGTTCAGGGGGGGACGAAATTTCGAGGTTTGAGATTTTCGGGCGCGTTCGTCGATTGTCGGCGGCATTCCAGCCTCGGGATGCCTTCCAGCGGCTGCGCCTCGCCGAGACCTCCCTGGGGGTGCCCGCATCTTCCCGTCGGGAGCTTCTCGCGGATCTATCGGCGACGCTTCCCCGATTCAAGTTCGCTGTTTCCCCCCGTGAGCTGGTCCCCCCCTATCGTTGCCCCTCGTGTGAGGGATCGTGGGCGCGGTGCCCCACTGCTCACGCGCACTGCCTCCCAAGCAGCCAGCAGCACCACCGAGACGAACCGCACCAGACACAGCAGCACCCTGCGCAGCAGCAGCAACACCAGCGCCAACAGCAGCAGCAGAAACTGCAGTGCAGGCACGGAGGCAGATGCGCCCTGGTGCTGCGGGCCGGCACGACCGGGATGGATACGGCCAAGACGCCGCGATCGGGCACCGCTCGGCTGCGGGAGCGGCTCGGTGTTCCTCGGGTCCGCCCACGGCCGTGGCCTCCCGCGCCCCGCCCCGCGCACCCGGGCGCCCTCGGGGCCGAGCGGGGCCCCGCTCCGTATTTTTGTCCGCGCTCCTTCGGGCAGCCACCCGACTGCGCGGAGGGCGCAGGTGCGAAGACCGGCAGCCCCTGCCTGCTCGGAGCAGGCCTCGCCTGCGGCGGCCGCCGCGAGAGAGGCCCGCCGTGTGAGGCAAGAGTGGCCACTCGGCCAAAAGGGCGCGGCCGCTGCCAGGAGTGGGCAGCGTGTGGTGTTGGGCATCGTGCCCAGGCCCTCCCCGTAGACATGTCCAGCGTGCCGGAGTGGGCCCCGTGCCAAGTAGGGCGGCTCTTGCACCGCTGCTTTTTTCAGCGATCCTGGACGCCCTCCAGGGGCCCAACGGCGCTGGCGACTCCCGCGACCCGCTGCATCCGGCACCACGGGCAGAAGCAGCTACGCCTTAGCGAATGGCCAGCGGCTTGTCGCACCCGATGTTAGACCCCTGGCTGAGCTGTAGCACCTTGGTGAGTTCGCTCCCTGACCAGCCCCCCCCGTGTTCCGAATTCCACTCTCTGGATGTTGGCGCCGCTCTGGTTTGCAGCCGCGTCGCCGGCGGCTGAGGTGCTCGCACACCAGCAGCGCGCACGCTTGCCACGCGGGGAGTGCCGGATAATCTGGCGCACCGCGTGTTGTAGGCATGTCGCGCCATCGCGGAGATTGCTGAGCAAACGCGCGACTCGGTTGCGGTCGGTGGGTGCCTTGGGGGGCATCTG